TACTTGTGATTATGTTTTTTTATTTTGTTATTCACATTTGTACGTCAAATCGAGGAACAAAATCAATAGTTGTTCATTTTCTTTTCTCTCAAGATCTTGGGTCAATTATCATCATTACATGTAGTATTATCAATATAATTATTATGACTACTACTTCTACTTCTACTACTACTATTATTATTATTATTATTATAATTATCATATTATTATTATGATTATCATCATCATCATCATCATCATCATCATCATCATCATTATTATTATTATTATCATTATGAATTAATATTATTATTATTATAATTATTATTTATTATTATTATTATTATTATTATTATTATCATCATCATCATTTCTATTATTATTATCATATTAATTAATAAATTTAATGTATATCTCAAGATTCACTGCTATTTTTACGAAAATTTAAACAAGAGGGCTCTGAGTCGCTCAACAGAAACAACTGCTTTTCAGTGTTGGAAATTATTCATTGTTAATATTTTCTAATAGTAAATTTGAGCAAAGAATATCTTTAAACAATAATTTGAAGAAATGCCATGACCTGGGGCATTTACGGGGCCAATCAAATTTATATGAGCAAACTTGATAAAAGACTACCGAAGATTAGTAAGAATGCTACAGACAAAGTTTGGTGATCATCCATCAATTATTTCAGTAGGAGATGATGTTCAAAGGTTTTTCTATTTTTAGCTTTAGTGGCCCCTAAAAGGGGCCAATCAAATTAATATGAGCAAACTTGATAAAAGACTACATAAGAATGCTACAAACAAAATTTGGTGATCATCCATCCATTAGTTCTGTAGAAGAAGTTGTCTAAAGGTTTTTCTATTTTTAGCTCTAGAGACCCCTAAAAGGGACCAATCAAATTAATATGAGCATACTTGATAAAACACTCCCCAAGAATGCTACAGACAAAGTTTAGTTATCATCCATCTATTAGTTCTGTAGAAGATGTCTAAATAGTTTTCTATTTTTAGCCCTAAAGACCCCTAAAAGGGGCCAATCAATTTAATATGAGCAAACTTGATAACAGACTACCTAAGGATGCTCTAGACAAAGTTTGGTGATCATCTATCAATTAGTTCTGTAGTAGAAGATGTTTAAATGTTTTTTCTATTTTTAACTCTTTTTACCCCTAAAAGGGGCCAATTGAAATGACATGAGCAAATTTAAAAGTGACTGTCACAAGAATGCTACAGACAAAATTTGAAGTAAATCTGCCCAGCAGTTTCAGAGAAGAAGACGATTGTTGAAGCATGACGACGGACGACGGACGCCGGAGCATCCCCCTTTTGATACTCATAGCTCATCCTGAACCTTCGGTGTTTTAAAATAGTGAAACAATTTGTCAGAAAAGTCAAAATATATCTTACGCATAAAATGTGTTAGGATATGGTGTTACAACTGGTGAACATTTCCTATGTTGCAAATAACATACCTGGCATAATATGCATTGTAAAATACTCGAACTCTTTTCAATCTCTAAATACATATTATTCTGAAGAAATAAGATACAATAAATAAAATGGAATCGTTAAAAAATGTTAAGACTGGAAATGTTGCTGGCTTTATTTGACCGAGCTTATCCGTAAATGCAAACAACTGTCTACGCTCCCTAGCACCGGCTCAACCACAACTGAACATTTTGATATGATATGGAGTTTAATTTTGAATTAAGATTCATCAGAACAGAACAGAACAACACTTTATTAACTCTAGTTACATATAGCAACACAAGAGTGTACAATACATGGTATATCAATATATGATATAATAAGTGACATGGCAACGGAGCATCTGAAAAAAGGTACCATCGATATTTTTATTATTTGAACATCTTATTATTAAAAGAAGTTGGATTCGGGGGTAGATGTCCATACATGTTGAAGAATGTTTAACAATATTGGTCAATTTTGAAACAGATTATAGGTATAGAGGCGTGGGCGGATCGATGATGTTTGTAAATAAACTCACGCTATGTTGGTCACATGACCAACTGTGTAAAATTACACGTGTTTTGCCGATGGGGTAACATTTGTAAATAAAGTAGTAAGGTAATAGCTGATAAAAAGAGAAAATTACTGAAAAGAAATGGACGGAATGTGAATATATTGATTAATTCAGGTATCATCAGTTTTTCAATACCAATATATTCATTATAACAATATTGATAGTACCTTGCACAAATAATTAATTATACATGTACAACTGTTTGACAAAATAAAACCATTTTCACTGTATAGAATTTAACAATGTAGTTATAAATTTACATGTTTTTTTAAGTTGTATGACTGAATTACTTGTGAGTAGCTGCCTGAATTTTAAGATATTAGGTCTATTATAATAATACCTATTAATATATTTTTTACGTTCATCATCAAAAAAAGAGCATTGTAACAGATAGTGAAATTCGTCTGCTACGTCATTAGAATCACAGACTAAACATTTACGTTCATGTATTTCCTGACCAACCCATCGTCCTGTTTCAACAGGAAAACGATGGTTCCCTGTTCTAAATTTCAAAAGATTCAAGTATTCCTGTTTATTAAGTTTAAGAAGGTAATTTTCAAGTTTTATAGAGTCTTTAAATATAGAATAGTTTCGTCCTTTATTAGAATTGTTAAGAGATGAGTGCCAAATTTGCAGGTTTTGATCTAATAAAACTTGTTTTACAGTATTTTTAATGGTTTGGTTATTTATGTCTCCTTGCCTGAGCCATAAATCAAATCTGCCTACTTCGTTCAGAATTTCTTTTATCTTAAGTATCCATTTAGATTCAAAATTTGGTTTATTTTTCATATACTGGTATAGTTTAAAAGAAAGTTTATTTTGGTTTCCGGTGACGAGACTGTTCCAATAACTAATCATCCTACATTTTATAGTTAAATCAATAGGATGTCTGCCAGTTTCTGCATACAACATGTATAATGGTGTAGATTTTCTTAAATGTAATATTTTTCTTAAGAATTCACAATGAATTTTTTCGAGCATTGTTGAGCTTTCATATCCCCATACCTCAGCGGAGTACAGCAAAATAGGCAAGACTGTATGATCAAATAGCTTGAGAACGAGGTCAATTGGTAAAAAGAGATTGTAGGTTCTCTGATAAACTAAGTGTAATGCCTTTCTTGCTTGTTCGGCCAAGTGTTTCCTCATACTTAAAAAACTACCCGATTTAGTGAAATATGTCCCAAGGTACTTATATGAGTCTACTATCTCTAAAGGTGTATCACCAATTTTAAAATTAAAATTATTATCATTTCTTGACCCAATTACAAGAACTTTAGTTTTACTTATATTAATATTTAAATTCCAAATATTACAATATTGAACAAAATCATTAAGACATTCCTGTAATTTTACAGGATCTTCAGATATTAAGACCGTATCATCAGCATAAAGTAAAAGTAGTATTTTCAAGAACACGTCGAAATCATTATTTGTGTCAAAAAATTCTATACCATTATGACCCTTACTGTCTAAATATTGTTCTAGATCATTAAGAAATAATGCAAAAAGTACAGGTGAAAGATTTTCCCCTTGTCTAACTCCACAGTTACACTCGAAAAATGAAGAATATTTACCATTTTGATAAACACATGACTTAATATTCGAATACATATTTTTAACTATTCTAAAAAATTTACCATTTATATTATTGTCCATCATTTTTTTCCACAAGCCAACCCTCCAAACAGAGTCAAACGCTTTAGAGAAATCTATAAACAGACAGAATATTTTCTTTTTAGATTTTCGTAAAATCTCTTTAATTGAATTTAAAGTGAATATATGATCTATAGTGGAATAATGTTTGCGAAAGCCTGCTTGATTTTCTTTAAGTATTGAGTGCTCCTCAATAAATTGATTTAACCTGTTGTTTAATACTGAAGTAAATAATTTGCTTACACAACTTAATAAGGTTATAGGCCTGTAATTTTCTGGTAGGCGGGTATCACCCTTATTCTTATATATTGGTAAAATTGAACCAATAGACCATTGTGTCATCAATTCATTCATCAATAGATGTGTTCATGCGAGGACTATCTTATCTAATGGCAATAAACATTGAATCTGATATTATACTCAACGAAGATGTCTGGAACGCAATGCTGATTTCGTTACAACAATTACACAATATACAGATTTCAATATTTCATAGCACAAGAATCGATATTCCGCTCGTGACCTAATACACTTGGTATTTATTTTTACTAGGACATTCCTCTAACAAAGGTAAATTGAGGGCAGCATTTGTCCAAGTTAGACATTAACCTCAGGTAGTTTAAAGGTGGCAGTGTCCCAAATATTGGAAAAAAGCGTGTCTTGTTTGGTATTTCTTTCAAAATCCAAACGGTGTTCTCGGGGTAAATTTTATGTCATTTGAAATTTTGTGTCATTTAAAATGTTATGTTGTTTCGAAATCAGGAAAGGGTGGCGGATCGATTACGTTTTTATAAAATTAATACAAATACACATGTATAAGTGTTATTTACATGTAAAGATGAGACTTAAATAAATAATTAAATATTTCGAAATTAAGAACGGATGACAAATCAATTACGTTCTAATTTATATATTGTTTTTTTTTTTTAAATTTTTTTTTTTTAACTTTTCCCCTTTTAACCAGATGAGTTTTTGTTGATTGTCTGAATTTAACGCCAGTTTAACACATGTTTGAGTCATATCTCGACCGTTGACGGTTTTTTTCCCTGGTTAACTAGCAAGTAATTGCCGTTTTCTCCGCAAGTTATTGACAACTTCTCTCATTTGAGACAATTGACCACAAGATACAATGATTGATATGAGTTTCATATATCAAATATGAAAAGAATGTCTTGACTGGTTCTTTTCAGGTAATTACACATTATCTTACTACTATTATAATACTAAAATAAATCTTACAAAGGTAATGTTGAAATATTCGATCAATTATTATTCTTTACTTTTCTTCATGAAATGAATTAAGAAAAATGTTTTATTACCTATTGAGAAGAATTGTCCTTGAATTCCATAAAATATTCCACAGAGAAAAACCAATAAATATGATATATATTTAACTTTCCTCATATTTCAATCATATTTATTTAGATTTAAAGTTTAAACACAAAATAAAACATTTTAATGAAGACACAGTCACGTGAGGAAGAGCTATAATCTTTTACAAAAAATGTTTAAACCAATGCACGCAACGCGGTATTTTCGCCGCCAATGAACCGTCACGTTTCGGGTTGAATACAATCTATTTGAATGGCGGCACTACCCGTGAATGTTTAATGTCAAAGATGCGGGTTATTTGAAATTGATACTCTCTCACAACACGGTCAAGCAACTTTGCAGGGTTTTCATAATCAATAAAACGTACTATAAACTGCATTTTATTAAAATGAATTAACAGTACGGATGTATGTATGGTTATATGAGACGCTTTAAACATTTAACACACATGCAAAGTAGTTAGTACATGCTTTGTCATACTATGGAAATACACCTACATTGTTTACGTCTGAAATTTCAAGGTCAAATTTAATGCCAAATGCGGGTATTGACACATGCGCAGTTCGTTCAACGGTTAAAAATAGTAACAGCACATTCAATATCGTCCTCTGTCTATACCCAAGAAATTTTCACGATCAATGGGGGTAACGCGTGACGCCGTGTATATTTCGTCAAGTTGCAAACCCTTCAATATGATGAATATGGGCTAGGTGGGAAGGGATGGGGGTGTGGTGAACCCCATATGGCTCTTAAAATTGAGCATCGGCAAATAATACATGTGAATTTCCGCTGATCCAGATGTGAACAATAAAACCATACGTGACAGAGAAAATAGGTCAACCACAGGGCAAGCTTTCAACTTTTTAAACACATAACATTATATAAAATTTAAAGTTTTTGTTAAAGAAAATCGACATGTAATTCTATTCTCCTGACTTTCCTCTTTCTTATCCCATTTTGTTCCCGATTTTTATGCAGTCTTCGTCGAAATATTCTTCCCGTCGTGGGTTCTGGTGTGTCCAAATCATGCAATGCGTGTTTACTTCCTAATCATGAGATTCTGTACTATCTAGAAACTTCTCTAAACGTAAAACTATTTACCCACAACTTTGTTGATTTTTATTACCTATTGAGCACTTAATAAATATGACCTATTGCCAAACGCTAGAAATTTAAAAAAAACTTCCAAATATTACTTGTTGAATATCCGGGGGTGAGGGACGGTGGGGGATGCGAAATGGAGAGTATTGCTATAACTTACGGCTCTTTTCATAAAATAAAATTAATAAAAAAAATACACGTTAACCTCTTTAGATACATTTGAGTTTATTGACCTAACTTTTGTATGTACCCAAGCAGTTATGACGCCAAATGACGCTAAAATTACATTAAGGCATGAGCATTTATGCTATTTGCGTTAATCGCCAAGGGAGACGATCGGTCCCATGTTTGTGAATTTTTATTTGTATTGAAAAAAGAACAATCGTTGACAAGCGTTAATCATATCATTTCGAGGGCAATACATATAACAATTATGCATCTTTATGGATACTTTTCATGGATTTTAAACGCGTTTGTGTGTGTTTTTTTTAAAGAGGCACTACTGATAGATTAACAATCTAACAATTTGTAAATTTGTAGTAAAGTTGCCCTTATGTATACAGCACTCCAGGGGGAGTAACTTCAGTTAAATTTTTAGACAGATGTTTCTTACGTACACGAGAAGTTGTGCTTCTGCATGATTTTATCTGTTCTTAAATCTATACATTTGCTTAAGAAATAAACCTGTAAAATTTGTAAATACATGCATATGTATTCATAAAAATAAAGCGGATAATTTAATATAATTTTTATTAAAAAATAATTTCATAACGGCACATGATTTCATAATATCATTAATGATAAAAGCTGGATTCATAATACATGGATATAATGCAAAAATAAGCATAAATCTCTAAAAATAATATGCATGAATATTTCTAATATCAAGCTTGAATATATCTCTAAAAAATGAGGAGACTTGAACGAAATAACCCATGAACAAATAATATTAAGCACATCTGAAATAAAAAATATATATGCCATTTTAACAGAGATTCTTACAAATGAGGTCATTAACTTTAAACATAAATGCATGGTCAAAATATTCATATTAATGAACATTTAACAAACATGTAATTTTTCTGGTCAGTTAAAATTTTAGAAGGGAAAAATATGACAAAAAGTACATGTATAAAATAATAATGAAAAAATAGTATAAGAATTTTAATCGGGTAAAATTGGATTTCTTATGAGTAAGTATATTATTACCGTAATACAAGGGAAAACGGTGTACATGTAAATATAAATCTTTTCCTCTGGTATAACTGAGACATCACGTATAAGCTAAAACCAGTTTTCTTAGAGAACCGAAAGCTACATTCAAGTAATTACGACCTATGCCAAAAACAGGATACCTTTCTAAACGTATTTTTAATATTTATGATATGTATAATTCGTCACCTTAAAGAGTTTCAAGAGTTTTTTTTTTCCAGAATACATCCGGGCAATATGTCCACGTAAAACACAGAAGCATATTATATATACATTACATATATATTCTATTCAATTCTGTTCAGTCTGTATCCTGTGTTGGCATATCCTGTGAAATAAATTTTATTCATAGTGGCATAAAAAGCGCGTGACTTCAAATTGCAGAATATTTTCAAGGAAATCGTGCTAAATATAGTACATCCGTTCTTCCTCACTGGACAGAAATAATTGTTGAGGTCGAATGATGTGAAAGACAGAATAACTTTATGAACACATTACTAAATATTACATCACTGCGAGTAACCGATGCCTAAACCACGTGCCAATATGATAGTCGGTCCATATTTTATTTTCTTCCATTACTTTTAAAAATCTTCATAATTTTTAATCGAATAGATTGTATAGAGCTCTCTCATCCTAGTGAATAACATATACATATAGAAAAGTGAAGAACTTTTTTCCAGACACGTTCTTTTTATGGATTTTTCACTAGAATAAGCGGCTCCACAATTTATTCTATAAAAATATTGGAACATCAAAACACATGTATTATGGCAAAACCTAAAACCTGAACTGTCTTTTGTATTGGTTATCTACCCCACGCACATCACAAAAAGTCACGTGGTATGTCACCTTGGTGTAAGCTGTCTTACAACAGACAACAAAGACATTAACATAATTATTTCCCTGAGCTTAAAATAAAAGTACTAGAAACAATACAAAAAGTATCCTTTGCAACAGCGTCCCAGCCCTTACAACGTCACTTCCGCAGGTGCGTGAATATTCGTCCGAGAAACATATTTCGGATGTGGTTGGGTCGAATGGAATATTAAGCGATCGTGTATTTCCACCTGAGAAAAAACAAATAACAATTTGATTAACATGTTACCTTAATATTCATGGTATTCTTAATAAATGGATACAGAAAATATTAATTTGATAGGTTGTCTAATTGAAAATGAGTACATGTAGTTTAAATATAAAACAAAAGGTTTAAATCATTTGTTATTATTTGTCAAGAAATATATTTCCATAACATTGTTTAAGTCCTCTATGATTAAAGGTATCTTTCGTGTAATCTTTGTATGGCATATTCGTATATCAGTGTAACCTACATGTATGTATTCATACCCATTGAAACACTTTAATATCTTATCCTTAGAAAATGAACAGTTGCTATAATAACCTATATATCTACCAAAGAAAATGGTATCTTTAGCTTACAATTATAATGCAGAATTATAATAGCATTCAACTAAAAATGCTTAAAATGAAGCAGAAAAAAAGAAGAAAAAAGATTCAAACCTTTAACCGTGAAATAAACGGCCTCACTGAGACTGCCGTCCCCTGCGCTACTGAAACCAAGTATCCGGATGACGTAGACTCTGCCTTGTTGTAAACCGGACACAACCGCTTCGTCTACTTTTTCTACCAACGTATCTTTAGCTGTCCGTATATCTTCTTGTATCTTCCATACACGTAACTTTAATGTAAAACACAAAACTTTAATGTGAAGCACATATTTATTACATCTTACATGCATCTAAAATGTATGACACGTGGAACTCATTGTCTTGACATTATACATGTATTACATTAATGTAAAACGCAAGGAACACGTAATTTTAATGTAAATCACGTGACGTTGTTGTTTAACATGAACGTAAAATGCTATTGTATTGTGATATATACACTTTTATGCAAAAAGTATGTACAAATATTCACATACTTTGTAACCCTGTAACGATTCCTCCCCCGGGTGATTCAGAACCCCTCTCCACTTCACTATAACACTATGTGCATCTCTATGATAAACTGCTATGTGCGTAGGATGATCACGTAGAGCTGAAATTCAAATTAAAACCGGAAATGACATAATTATGCATGTTTGTCAATGACGACGGTAGTGAGTACAGTAAGTTAATATGGGTTAAAGAGGAAAACAAATTTAATATGTTTAGAAATACAGAAATTCAGTCTAGATTAAAATACATTACTGGCATGCGAGCAGTTCCCGTACAAAAATCATAGTTACTTAAACATTATTTTTTATTGCGCTCACTCACCAAAATTTGAATGTTACACATCAATATTCGGCTCGGCACACAAATCATGGAAATTCCATCATGTTCTAAACATAGAATAACCCTTACTTATGAGGCCTCATATGGGGTACCGAAATTATCCATTATTTTGTATGAAGAGAAGTAGGTTCCCGTACATAAAATCTAACCCATTATAAATTATACAATTTTATTATATCGGACCTATTTTTCATTTACAATTGTTGAACAGACCCATTATCTAAGAGATAAATAGATGTAATCAGGAAATAGAACGTAGACTAAACGCGGGTATCTATTACCCGGTACCGTTACCCCAACGCATTCACATGCAATAGCATGCTTGTATGCATGATATTTTACGCATCAAAGGCATAAAATTATTTTATATTGTAATATTGGTCAAAATTCTGATAATTAAACAAGTTTTCATCACATTGCCTACTTATTTGTAAACAGGTGGTATTAGTGGAAAACCCCTTTAACAAGCCTCACGTGTAAGTATTTTTGCGCATGCGCGCAATGACGGAATCCCCCAGAGAAAACAAGGTCACGTTTTGACGACGCACAGGTGAAAGTGATTTAAAATGAGACTTTTTATACGAACTGCCAAACTGACACTTAGATTTTGTCTCGTTTATGTATCTGCTTGATTTGAAATGAATTTTTGAAGAATGCAGGTAAAAATCGAGCGTTTAAATGAAAAATACGGGTACTGCTTCTGTACGGGAACTGCTCGCATGCCAGTATATTTACAGAATCATATATACACGAACTGTTTATTTCGTGTTAAGGCTGGAACATTGACATTTTAATAATAATCATTGTTTTGCATTAATATATATATTTGTCTACAGTACATCTGTTAACTCATATAATTAATGCATACAGCTGTAGAATAATTCTAAAAACAGGCCCTGCTGTGATATACATGTAGTTACATAATTCTAAAAATAGAATTCTTAAATTCTAAAAATAGACTGAGATGACTCACGGGCATTATAGGTCTCGGAAAGTCTCCACTCTCCCTTTGGTCCGAAACCGGCACCATTGAAAACTTGAATTCTTGAAAAGTAGTTCGTGTTGGCCATTAAGCCAATAAGTTGACAGTGATCCGTCTGTCCGTACACATCTTTTGTTTGCATACCCACGGCTACCGGATCTGGCTCCTTCGTGAACGGGTCGCTCTCATCAAGTTTTGGATAGTAATATACCTTATAACACGAAAAAATGAACTTTATATCTAATATTTATATGTGTTAAAGAAAATTATTATTTATCGGTATTAATGATATTTTGACTCAGGAATTAATCATATTCATTTTAAAGAAAATCGATATAAAAAAATAAATTACTAACCTGGTAAAAATGAGGGTAAGTTAAAGGTATCTAAAGACTAACGGTCCAAAATTGTCACACTAAGTACAATCGATGTGTACTTCCAGATGACCAAAAATATTTCAAGAATATTTTTTTCTGGCATTTCTTTTCATTTTTCACCTTTATCATTGCAAAATATTCTAAACATCACATATTCAATTTATTGTATTTTCATAATACAAATATGAATTTGATAGCGACTTTTGAAATTGATTCAAATGTTAAGACTGTCATAATTTGACATCAGTTAAAAGTTTGACATGACATGGTAAGCTGGAAGAAGTTATAAGCCTATTTAATGGAGAAATAAATATAATGTTAGATTACGAACCAAAAGAACGCAATGGACTTTATTGTAAAAAGAAGGAGTAATCTACCGGATATGACGTAAGTTAATTCTTACCCGGTACCCGGCCACACGACCTTTAATGGCCTCTCTTGTATCCGGCACAACCGCCCATGACACAATCACACTCGTTGCATTATATTGATCCGGATTCGCGGATATTGGAACTATATTTGGCACTTAAATAAAGAAATATTTGAAAAAAAAAAGTTATTTGTTAATATAAATTTTATGCAGCTGCGAAAGATGACTTATTAATAAGCGTGACACAATATCTAATTGCAACTTCTACATTTTCTTTATATTTCTTAATATTATATCAAAGTTACAAAATTATTATGTATGAAGCAACAAAAAAATTGCCATGATGTATTGTCAAAGTATACACAGTGGTGTTTGCGACAAACTACAGCAAATATGATGATCTACCCCCCCCCCCCCCCGTCAAAAAAAGAAGAAAAAAAGTTCATGCTTATAGAGCGTTTTCAAAACCCCAAAAACGTGATTAACGTGCATATTTTATTCAACGAGTGTTCATAATCACGTCGCAATATCTACTTGATGATAAGTCTGTTTCTATACGGTGTTGTTCATAATTTATTTACAACAGAAACGCTTCGATTTGAAAAATTATAAAGATGCATTCTACCATTAAGTAGATTAGATTTAATCTTAAATCTTAACTTTAATGTGCGGTAACATTTACACATAAAATTTAAAATTGGTCCCATCTAAATTTAATACATTTATTTAATACATTTCAAACATTTAACAAATCTTATATATTTATTTCTGTACTTTAAGTGTATAAACCGACCGTGCGATCAATTAACTTAATGCACTTGTATGAGCTCAAATCCAAATAAAATATATTATATATGTGTTTTTTTCTTACTTATTTATTTATTTCTTAAGAACTTACTTCCCTCCGCAGAGTATATGATGACCTCGGATGAGTTCGGGCCATGTCCGTTAATGTTGTAAGCCCCGACTTTAACCTTGTACTGGAGGTAATAATTCTCGCTTCCCACAGTAACAACGTATTTACCGTCCTCAAGTGCCAACTTATTTTTTCCATCCTCCTGAAAATTAATAACATAAATCATAAAGGTGTGTTTTTTAAACTTGTTGCAACATCTGAAACACGTAATTAGCGTAATAAAACGGTCGTTCCCCGTTCATTTTAAATTTAGCATTCCAGTATTTGCCGAAATACAAAATACTTCATAAATATGTAAAATGGTAACTTTTTTTCTGACGTGGCACTCTTTTTGATATCTGACATCAAGACAAATTAAAAACAAAACAATACAACGTGTCTCACCTTACGCCAGTCTGTGGCGTCGTCAAGCTTCTTCCAGTATATATAGTACGCCAGATTAGGTCCACAGTGTTCCGACGGATCCAATATCTAAAATAGGGGAGATCTAACTATACAAAATGTCCAAATGGTTTATCCAATCTAGGACCTTTGTTTAAGTAATTGTTCTGTAACAATTTTATTTGAAATAAATATTAAAAGACAAAAAAAAAAAACATTTTTTTTCCTGAAAAGTGGGTTTTAATTTATTTTTTTAACCCTACATTCCTATGGAAAGTCAAAGTATATAAAATTTTTTTTAAAAAAGGGGGGCCAAAAAGCCCTTAAGGGGAGAAAATGTTTAAAGCTCGAGGTTTAACATTAAATGAAAATTTCAAACCCCCCAAAGATGGGTTTGAGTGCCGACCCTTAAACCCCCACCTCCCCCCCACTTTCAGGGGCGGGTTAAAACGAAGGTGCCGGCGTTTCTTTTTCCCCGTAAATTTTTCAAAACCAAAATTGCTTTAAAATTAAAAAGAAAAATTTTTAATTTCACCTCATTAAAATTTAAAAAATGCTAAATCATTTACTTGTAAAATGTTTTTATAAAAATTTATACAAAAAATATACCAAAATTTTTACTAATATTTATTACAAAATTTTTTTTACCGGGGCAAAGAAAAAAGAATTGAAAGCTTTATTTGTTGCTGATCGATTTTGCCCTTGAAATAATTGTTATTAAATTTCACATTTATGTAGTATGGCAATTTATAAGCATAATTTTATTAAAACAGTCAACAGAAAGACCAAATCTGATAGAATTATATTAAACATGAGATTAATAGATAAATTTGCAAGTAATATGTAAGATATAAAATTATTTTCAGATATGGTCTTCTCATGCATAAAATTTGGGATGTACTATGTAAAATTTTAGGATTGAAATACTAACGCAGTAAAACAACGTGAACCATAGTATGAAAATGTACGGTAATACAGGGCGTCCTTTACTGTTCACTGATGGCGGACGTCTGTAGTCTGAAAACCCAAATAAGCAAAAAAACGATATATTTAAAAACAAAACCCCATATCTTTAAAAGAAAAAAATTTTCTAATTTTTTTTGAAATTTTTAAAAAAGTGGAACCCCCCAAATTTAAAAAAAACAAAAGAAATTAAAATGGATGGTTTTTCTGGCTCCTTGCCTCGCCCCGGGAACAGGGATGGCTCGAAAATTTTGAACCTGAAGCCTTGTTTGGTATAAGGTTTTGGGACGTGAAGCTGTTGATGGGGGCCCTTGTCCTCTTCCTTAGCCTGTTTTTCCCAAAATTCCGGACGTCAAAATTGGGAAAATTGTTTACTGTTGAAACCCGGGGATGACGGAAACTTTTTAAATAAACTTATTAGTATAATTATGTATTAAATAAATCTGAAGAGAAGAATGATTATATTACATAATTATATCTTATTCATCTTTCTTTATGATTATGCTTAATACCGTTTTTCTGTGACAGACATTTAAAATAATAACTAACAAAGTTTTCATTATAAACGTAGAAACAAGCTATAAAACTTAAACCTAAAGTTTAATCGACGATGTTAATGTACAATGTATAAGTTTTTAGTATAAGTAAAATATCATTAAATTGTGCAAATTTTTCTCACCTGAGGCAACTGTTGTCCACACGCCAGGGTGAAAATTGGTTTCAGCCTCAATATCATAGCTTGTGATAGACCCGCCGTGACCCATCTCTGACGTCATAGACCAAATCAGCATCACAGACTGTGTAGTGACAGACTCCTTGTCCACGTACACACCGGCTGGTGCCACAGGTGGCCCTGAATTGTATACGATGCCAGATTAATAAACTGCATGAACATTTAATTGCAAAAGTAGGCTTTCATCAGTGCAAAGATTTATACCATTATTGATATTTTAAAGAGAGGGTGGCTGTGTGATTAAATTATCCGGCTTCCAACCGTGGAATTGCGTGTTCAAGCATTTATCGTTTAAGGACCATTTTGATTCATATGACACTAGAACTTACACAGTTAAGTGCTTAGATAGATCAACATGGATCTTTTTTCTAAATCAGCTATAGTTAAAAACCTTGACAAAGTAATACTCATCATAAAATGAATTTTATTTTTTTGCTTGTGGACCTAAAATTAACTTTATGATGTCGGGGTAATTTCTCGTCCATTCAAAGATATATCCCAAGAACATTAAGTCGAGATTAAACTCATTGTCCCAGTGAACACCTACCTTTAACTTCTAGGAACGCGGACACTCGCACCGTCTGCATGGTAGTACGTGCTTCACATTCATATTTTCCTGCGTTTTTATACTGGGCGTTTGTAATATATAACCCATTCAGATCATTCTGCTTTCCCTGTAATACGTAAATTATTAAATTAAACTTTTCTTTATAACAAGTTTGTTATTATTCAAGCTTGAATGTGTTATCAAAATATTATATCTATATGGTATCACAGGCACATACAGTAATATAGTCATTCCGGCACTTGCGTTGTATAATACTTTTTCACGAAACTTATGTAATATGTAAAACAAGCTAAAATTGAAATGAAAATAGCTCTAAAGACGTTTTTAAAATGAATTATCGATAATGTTTCCATAAATAACATAACATGTTTACGTGTTCATGATTTAAAAGAAAAACTCATCGGGGTTAGATGCATTTGCAAAAGGCGGTTAAGTCTTTATTTGTATATTGAATAACTTTTATGTTATATACAATATACAACATGTTTCTTCATGTTAAGCATAAATTCTTAAACGATATTTCAAAAAAGAAGAAAAAAAAAAGAAAACTTGTTAATTTACATTCACATATTCTGGTGATAAATTGTAATCTATGACCCGTCCATTAAAATTCCACACGTAGGTCAAGTCATAAGAACTGCCGTATGCTGCTTGACAATACATGAACGCTGTTCTATTCACCTCCACCGTAGCACCGGTTGGTGGCCGAGTTATTGTTAAACCGTCTGCCAAATAAATAAATAAACATATGTGTTTTAACAGTCCTTCAGTCAAAAACGTGGTTATTTCTTTGCAAATTTAATTGTAAAATAACATGTAAAGAACTGTCAAATCTATTTGTTTCACCATTAGATTGATTACAACTTTATAAATTGATGTACGTAACACATAATTGGTTCATGTTTTTGAATATGCGAGGTTAATAGTCTGCATTAAAATCAATTTGTTTACATACAAAAGTTTGCTATAAATTGCATATAATATAATTATGGCATTACGTCAATATCATCTTTTTATTTGAAGCTTTTCTGTTGTTGACGAAATACTGTTATTGAAATTTATGATATTCAATTTATTCCTACCCATGATATTTAATTGAGTAGAATTGACGGCTGTGCCAAGGCCGTTCGTCCCTTTACATGTATAAAAGCCTCGATCTGAATACTCGACGCTTGTAAACACCAATCCGTAATCTAGATTCATACCAATCCGACCATTCAGATCACCTGGTACCAAGTTAAGATTGGCATTGTTTTTCAACCATTCAACCTGTTATAAAAATGATACAAATACATTTATATAAAACAGTAAAAAAGACAATATTTATAATGTTTGGGTAGTAATCGAACAAACAGCATCGAACATAACTTGTCAACATTCTTTACCCTGTGTACTTGTTCTTCTATTTTATTCTTCTATTCCGTGTCATTTTTTATGCATGCACTCCACTAGCATGTCTCCTCTTCTGGGAAAATATTTCAAAATGAAGGTCTTATTTTCACTTAAAAAATGTAAAAACCCTACCGGTTTTGAGCGTTTAATTCTTTTAGTTAATTGGTAAATATATGAGGAGTATTTTCATGAGTGGTGACAGTTTTTCTCTCTAATAAATCGTATTCTGTTTCAGACATACCAGACGTTTACTCTCTTAGAATATCAACAATTCCTTTGACCACTAAAACTCTTAATATACTGTAACAATAAAGCATTAGCCTGAATACATTTTATCAGAAAGAAATCACCAAATATTTTTTTATCAGATAAACAGAACGTAAAAATATTTTAGAGTTGTTTCCCTTTACCTGTGGTAGTGGTGCGCCCTCTATGTCACATGGAATCGTGATATTTCCGCCCAGTGGAGCCAGCATTGTTTGACGCATCGGAAAGCGATGGAAGTTTGGTGCGAAAGCTGTAAAGTCGAAAGAAAATATATTAATACAAAAATTCAGTTATCTTCATCTCGGCCTAAAATACATAATTAAGATGAAGAAAATAAATGTCGCCAATTCAACTTGGTCAGTTGGAAAAATACTGAAACTAAAAATCTCACATTACGTATTTTAATAGCGTCATCGATTCTTTTAATTGTTTATGCTAATATAAGGGTAGTATGAGACTTAACTGTTTTACTTACATAGAACCTTCAGCTGCCCGGTGCTAAAAGTAGTTCCGTGCTGATTTGTCGCTGCGCATTGATACATCCCTTCATCGCGTTCTTTCACAACGCTTACAATGGTAAGAACGTTGCCACGTACCTGATCTTCCTGGTTTTTCCTCGAAAAGACCCCCTTTTTTACCAGCATAATGGCTTGCCTGGAAACCCCTTACTTTCCATTTTAAAAATTGTCACCCGGGTGGGGCAAAGGGGGCTTATCGGATGGGAAATAGGTTTTGCTAAAAAATAAAAATAAAAACTAATTTATTGCTAAAAAAAATTTTTAAAAAAAAACAAATTGTTTAAAATTTTTTCACAAATTCGGGGTTTTTAGAAAAAAAAATGTTATAATTAAAAAATCAATAAATATTTTAAAATTTTTTCCATAACCCAAAAACCCAAAAAACCAAAAAATAAAAAAAAACAAAAAAACCCATTTTTTCTTACTTTCCATTGATAAAGTGATGACTTTGGACTCCCTCGCGCCTGTATCTCTACGGCACGTGCAAACATAGTTGCCGTCTGCTTAAGGGTGCTTTTTTATTGTATTTACTGGGTTTACGATCGGCAGGGGTTCCCCGGGAACGAACGGCGCCGTTCCCGACGAAAAGGTAATAATGGATGTCTAAAAAAATTCAATATCTAATGGGGCCCTTATAACTTTCAAAAAAACAGGGTTTTCATGTTTTTTTTTTTATTTCGTTAATTTTGACAGCTTGCCATTTTAAATTTACAATTTAAAGGGTTTTAAGACTTTAAAATTTCAAAGTGAAACCCAAGAATTTAAACGATCAAAATTTTTTGCATTTGTTTTGAAAAAAATTTGATGTTTTTAAAGAAAAAAAAACCCTATATGGTTTTTTCAAACATACACAAAATTTTTTATTTTTTTAAAAGTTTATATAAAATTCTACGGAAAAAAAAAAATCCCCTTTTAAATTAAAAATTTTAAAATTTAGTTTTTTATTCTTTTACGCTTTACCAAAATAAAAATTTAGATATATTTTACTTCCGATGCAAAACTCCACCCCTGATCGTGGGGCCTCTAAGAGTCGGACGGGAAACACGTGGGTTGGGAAATATGGGTCCATGTTTGTAAAGACGCTGAAAAATTTTTTTTAGAAAAATTTAACTTATAGTTTGAGAATAAAATTTTTTCGTTCGAAATGAGTTCTATTAAAACTTGGGGTTAAAAATTTTCCCTTTAAAACATCTTTTTAAAACCACTAAATTCCTTTAGAAAAAGGGTAAATGTCAATTAACCCTTTGAATCCAAAAAGCAAGTGCACTATAAAGGGGGGTTTTTTTTTTTAAGCCCTGGACCAGCTTTTTTAGCTTTTATCTCTTAAGGGTTTAAAAAAACAAAAAATTTATCCTTACAACCTTTTTAAACCGGGCCCCCAAAATTTTTTTCAAATTTTTTTTTTCCCAAAAAGAGTAAGGCATATAGCCTACCGCAGCTCTTTTATAGTCCTGGTTGCAGGCATTGTTATATTATATATCACGGTGACTCGGTTGAAAATTTTTTTTAATCATTCTACGTAGTACTTTACACTGTTTAGGTATCATAGTTTCAGTTGCACTGTTCTCCATGAATTGCTGAAACAAATAATGTCATAAACTGCTGAATCAAAGAAGCCATTAGCTGCTGAAACAAAGAAGTAATGAACTGCTGAATCAAACAAGTATACTTACAGCTAGTATCGTCCAGAAGTAACAGCAGTATTCCTTTATTACTTCTCACCAGAGTATTTGCCTTGCCAAGTTTGATATCGTCAGTGCCGACGAGTGTGATCAAACAGAAATAACGCTTCGGCGAGTCCGTCGGCTGTACCTCTGAGACGTATAGTGTACCACTGAACGACACAAACATGTTATCGTTACCTGGCTGCACGAAAATATTGATCGCCGCATTCTTAAACCATTGGTAAGTCACCCCTTGAAATACAATTGAACTGATATCAGATTTTGTACAAATTTTATATAACCGAATGCGTTAGGCTTACTCATTTTTAACAACCAAAATTTCTTTTTTCATATTATGAGAGATATAAAGAAATAAAACGAGGGATTAAATTAAATATTGTTGGTTAAAAGAAACTCAAAGGTTGTGTAAAGTGATTGCGATGAAAACGAAACATACTTGGTGAGTAGGAGGGTGTCTCGCAGTCTATCTTTGTCCCTTTAAACACTCTAGCGTATGTTGGTTCCGGTTCTACGTTAGAGATATAACCGAGATCTGAAAAAATATTGTGCATCATATAGGACTGTGAGAAAATGAACAATTGCGCTTTTGTGAGGGACAGACACTTTAACCAGCTTATGGAGGCTTTGTGCTTGTTGTGTTGATCTCAAAACCGCTTTTGGGATCACAACCATAAATGTTTTGAACAATGATTGATCTTACATATTAACTGCAAAGCAACATTGATGAAACTGAAAAATGCATCGACATAACACTGCGGTTTTCATGTTTATAGGTAAAAAGTCAGAATATATTGTGTATTAAAGGCAAGTAAACAATTTGGTTTTTCAATTTTCTTATTAACATTCAAAGTAATCGTAATATACAAATTCATATTTTCTGCCAAAGTGTTGGCTATCAATTAAGTAATCCCTACTTTGCCTCATACAAAAAAAGGTTTATTCGTAAGTCTTTGAATATATCTCGCATTCTTTTACATAGTGAGACTCATCTTCAATCGTTCGTTTGTCACATATTTGACACATTCTACTTTTCTTTTATGGTGCTTATACTTTGTGATACTTCAGAAAATTCTACTTGTTTTAAAAGTTTCTATATTTATGGTGTGTGTGTGTGGAATGTACATGTACATTCATTTCAAAGAAATATTGTTTGAATGTGTAAATAAAATATATAAATAAATCATTTATAATTATACATGTTATATAATTACAATTATATAAATAAGCTTATAAATCTATAAATGCGGAGCACAGAGCATGGGCGTATTATTTTCATTTCCTGTGCGACCGTTTTTCATTTTTATTTATAAGTATCTTATCCGATTCAATAGCTGAAACATCGGCATATCATGGTACCAAGCAACTTTTACTCGTTCAATTATTACATTCAAGTTAAACAGGAAAGTCCGAGATATAAATAAATCAAAGCTTACATCCGAAAAGAATTTTGGCTTCATTACTTAGCACAGAACCAATGCTGTTTTCAGCCTTGCAATGGTACGATGAAAGGTCTTTTGAACCGTCCGGGCCTTCTATAGTGAACTTTCCGCCAGTCAATGTGTACCGGTTATCGGTTGCCGAGGTAACGAGAGCCGAATCATTTAAGTTTGTTCCTCGGTACCATGAGTACATCGGATAAGGATTCCCAGACGCCGAACACTCTATATCCACTGTTTCTACTCCCTCGAATACCTGAAAAGTGTATGAAATATGTATTTGTAATAATTAATTGGCTAATTAATTTGTTATTAATTGGTAATAATGATATGAAAATTCAAAATCTAAAAACAAAATTGTTCCTATTTTTTGTACCTTAGTAATAATCTTAGATCAAAAATTGGGCGGAGATGCTGCAATATACATTTATGTATATAGAGAATTTGTCTGGATAACGAGTCAGTGAATTATTTTATTTTAGCTCTTCTCTACAGGAAAAAATGTTGGTATATATTATTTACTCATTATCATCATCACGGCAAATGCATTTACATTAATACATTGTATATCTCAATATTTATTTGTCTTTTTTGTTTACGTATGAAATTAGTATTATGTTTCGGTCTGCAATTTGAAAGCTGTCTAGAAAAGTTACAAAAAGTTTAAATGATATGTATACATACAATAATGCTCTCAGGCTGTTCTACAATTGTAGGTCCTCGGATCAAATTCCTAGCATCAGTTTCTCCTATACCATAATCTATTAGTAACAGAAAAACGTGCATTTAATGAGAATATGTAATAGTTCTTTCAAACCTTACATCAATATATTTCGCTTACATTATATAAGTGTTAGCGGAATAATGTTAGCGGACCCTAAAATGATTTCAGGATGGCGTCGGTGAACAAACAAATTCAGGTAACTTACTGGTTCTATTGCTTATTTTGGTTACAAAATAGAGAAAATAAGAATCCCTAAAATTTTGTACCAGAGAAATTAGTGAATTAGTATTTTGCACCAAAGACAAAATAGGTAGTCGTGTACGGCTTGTTCGTACTTTTAAAACATTGTTTTCATTTTCAAAGTTGATTGCTTAACATCATACGCATCTAACGTGCTCTAAAACAATTATTAAACACGGTTTGCACTTTCTTCAGAAAGAAAATTGAATTCATATATGTGGCTTTTGTATAGCAATTTACTTTTATATATTTAAATTTTATAAAGATACTTGCTTTAACTTCTGGTAGAAAAAGACAAACATAGGGTAGTGCTATTAATATCCAATTTAAATATTTTTTCTATATAAGACCTTGGTTTAAGATTGTGTTACGTTGCTAATAGCATACACATACAAAGTTTCCTATGTTCATTTTTAGAAAAGAATATGTCAATTTTGTCGATACAGAGGCTGATTTGTTTTCTCACAAAACTTAAAAAAATATATTGAGCTAGGTTCTACACATACAAACAAATGATGCTTAATGTTAAATTGTTCGTTTTTGAGCTTATTTACCAAAGTCTCTGTCCATTATTTCCAAGTCCTGGGTCTGTGATCTGGGGATTTCACAAATGTAGCTCGCCATTATACTTGATGAAATGTTGGCCCACCTGTAACCCGAGCCTGAACCTGAATATAGGAGATATGGTGCACGAACATTTAGTCACGTGATATTATATGTGCTAACAATTAACGACCTAAATTTAATAAAATGACTTCTTCCAAATATAGTGTCTACTTACGTTTATGCAAAATAGTAAATCCAACAGTCAACAAAGAAAGACTTTTATATAGTCAGTCATTTTCTTAGATAATTAACTAGCATTATATTTATTAACTTCTCTTTTTGTTTTGATTAAACAGTCAAGTTTTGAATGCTTTGCTAAAGGTATCAAAATTAAAACACTACTATTTCAATGATCAAACATGACTGAAGGCATTCTTGGCAACATTATATATTATCATAGATCTACACGTTTTATTCCCAAAAAAAAAAATATTTAAAAAGCTTTGCAAGATTTAAAAAAAACTGCTATGGACCAAAAATGAGTTAGAAAATAAATAGATAATGCTAGTTTGTGTATTTATATATTTTCATTATCAAAGAACTATTTGCGCGTCTAATTACAGTTACTTTCCTTCCAGAAAATATTGAGATACAATTGCAATATTGAATTACTCACTTTGACATACTCTAAACCAAGTAATAAAACTTCGTCCGACTGTGTTAACCTACGTTAAAGACGAAATTTTAAAGCTTACTTCAAGATACGTTCTAAAAACCTTAAATAAGGAAGGGATTTTTTTACAGATATTGAAAAAATTATTTTGATGAAAAACGATTTATTCATATTTGTGATTCATGTTACATACCTGCGTATGTATACACGACCCTGTACATGATTTCTTCTTTGGGAGGAGTTTTCTCCCCTATCCAGAAGTCTGCGCCATCATGATACCGGTTTTCAGCTTCCCAAAACAGACGACCAAGGAAATAGTACCCGGATGTATAATAATACGTCTGCCTGAAGAGAGAGAGAAACAGAAATGTATATTGTTGTTAATGTCACAGGTTGTAGGAAATAAGAAAATGCTGAAAATATTTCATAACAATTTGTTTATGATTTTTGTTTTGGTAAACAGAACAGTGAAATACGTTTATTTTACCTGACAGGTATGGAAGTAAAAAGTCTTAATATTTTGAAAGAGTTTCTATGTACATATACAATATATGCATGCATGATATATACCTTTTTGGACTATTTAAATTCAAGCCCCTTTTTCAGATATAGAAGCGCCTCCATGCATTATTTCAGGCACGGGTAGACAGGAGTAAAGAATTTTTAACGTCAGTAAGAGTCCATATCCTTGACGTAATATCGTATAGAGGTGTGTTTCTGTTAAGACTGGTGATACACCATCCTTGTTTAAAAAATAATTTGTTGTAACAGTTATAATGTTAATAAGGTTTTGTATATGAACATTTTCGTATTATGCTGATTATTATTTCACCATGGACTTATAAGCCTTATTTGTTTTGTGATGTGCGCATGACACTCTATACTATCCATTGCAATGTATCAATTTTAAAGGCCCAGTATGCCTCAGAAATGCTTTTATTTTCATTTCTCATCCGCCTTTTAATTTTAATGAACGTATTTAATTACGTAAATCATTTTTTTCATCTGTTGCTTTTTACAATAAGAACAGTTATTGTGTATAAGTATTTTGTATGGAAGTCCAAATACAACTTTGATTACATTTTGCGAAATTCTATGGCAAATTATTTCACATTAAACGCTTTTTTATTCAGGTAACCAGCATCTAACAATCCTTAAAATCCATTATTTACACATAATAAAACTCATGTTTGACCTTTCTTAAGAAATTGAAATTCATATTGAAATTTGTGTCTCAGGCATAATGTATGTGCCTTTGAATTGAAACTAAGCCATTGTTATGCAGTTTTCTGTAATCTTCAATTGTTACAGACAGACAGACAGACAGACAGACAGACAGACAGACAGACAGACAGACAGACAGACAGACAGACAGACAGACAGACAGACAGACAGACAGACAGACAGACAGACAGACAGACAGACAGACAGACAGACAGACAGACAGACAGACAGACAGACAGACAGACAGACAGACAGACAGACAGATACCTTTATTGATAATCAGGTTACATATGTCACATAAAACAACATGATGTGAAAATACAAACATACATATTTTACAAAACTGGTGGTAACTGGTGGTAAACAGGGTATTTGATAAACATGTGGATTGAATTAACATTATTATAAGTTACATAACCTCATAATTATATAGTTATTACAATTGTTTTCCTAACATAAGGGGGAGAATATCAGACAAATGCTAGACTATTCGATATATATAAGGAAACATTATCCAGCAAATGGAAAATGTTTCAGTGTCAAAGAATATTGGATCATATTAATGTCAATGAATATTGGATCATATTAATGTCAAAGAATATTGGATCATATTAATGTCAAAGAATATTGGATCATATTAATGTCAAAGAATATTGGATCATATTAATGTCAATGAATATTGGATCATATTAATGTCAATGAATATTGTCAATGAATATTGGATCATATTAATGTCAATGAATATTGGATCATATTAATGTCAAAGAATATTGAATCATATTAATGTCAAAGAATATTAGATGATATTAATGTCAAAGAATATTTGATCATATTAATGTCAAAGAATATTAGATAATATTAATGTCAAAGAATATTAGATCATATTAATGTCAAAGAATATTAGATAATATTAATGTTAAAGAATATTGGATCATATTAATGTCAATGAATATTGGATCATATTAATGTCAAAGAATATTAGATAATATTAATGTCAAATAATATTGGATCATATTAATGTCAATGAATATTGGATCATATTAATGTCAAAGAATATTGGATCATATTAATGTCAATGAATATTGGATCGTATTAATGTCAATGAATATTGGATCATATTAATGGCAATGAATATTGTCAATGAATATTGGATCATATTAATGTCAAAGAATATTGGATCATATTAATGTCCAAGAATATTGGATCATATTAATGTCAATGAATATTGGATCATATTAAGAGTCATGACATAACATGTAATGCAGGAAGATTTTCTAAACTTAACAAGTACATTTGTACTTTCAACATATCTGTCAACTCATTCCTTAGGTGTATGGCTGTATTTGTTTATGTGTCAAATAGTTTTAATGCAAAAGAATCAGTGTAAATATGAAAGCGTATATATTATGTAAATAATTAAATAAGACCGTAACAAACTAAAAATATTTTGTATCAGCATTAAGACCGAAAGACGATTCTTTCTCGCTCATGCATATAATATACTGGGAAAAATAGATATAAAATATAATGGGTGGGATATTTTGCCATTGAAGTTAAATTTTAAAAATCAAAAGTAAGATAAAATGTTGCGTCATAAAGTTTTAGAACTAGTTTTAACCGCAAATTTCTGGCCTATGGTTTTGTTAGACGCTCATTATTTTTTTATTGAAATATTAAATGGTTTTTAAATCTATTATCGTATGAAATAAAAATTAGCAAATTTTCCATTATGCATCCCACAAAGCTTCATAAACTTTTGACATATTTTACCATTTTCTGTGTCATATAATGATTATATATGCGTCTGAATTACTTTAAACGACAAAAGTAATGTCTTGTCATCATACAGCTTTCAATATAATGATTTGATACGGAAATTGCTGGGCTTTGCCAAAATGTTGTTAATGATGAAAGGAATTGGGTGGGGTTTTTCATTGACGCGTCTATAGTATAACGCTAACATTAGAACACTTTTAGTTCTCCTTCGTCGGAATTTAACCAAGCAGCCGAATGAGGAGAACGACAGTTAATCTGCGAAAATTCACAAAGCGCCAAAACGAAGAAAGCAATAAATTTATACAAGAAATTATAGTGCTACTTTCAAAGGTTTACTTGGCTTTCCATAGATAATATGCACTTGTGTTCAATGTTCAGCAAATTAAAGGTCATACGATATAATTATATGAACGTTATAAGGTATACAATTTCATCAATATCATCTTGTTACCATGACAGATCTGCTCATTTAAAGCGTAGCCAGTTTTCAATGTCAGATCGTAATACCGATATACATGTAAATTATTTATTATCAGATGTATTTCAATTGTTAGTAAAGGTCATTGTAAATGCTCCACTTATTGCCTTCGTCTGGTATATAATATGTGTTTAAAGTCTTCTTAACCTTAACAACTTAAAATATTTTTTCAGGTTTTGATTTCATTAAATGATATGAGTATTGTGCAGTCAACACTAAATGTTTGATTGTTCTTGGATGTGTACGTAGGTTTTGCAAGGACGTTCTTGTTGAAAAATTGATTACCGCTCAAGCCGGTGCTGGGGGGGGGGGGGCGTGAGAAATAATGCACTTTTACGTAATCTCTCATGAACAGACTCAGTCAAACAGAGTCTGAATTTCCATATTATATAGTTGTTGTCATAGCTTCCACAGTCTCATTATTGTCGGATTCTGCTGACTGATAACAGTGTTGATAGTATTGTTATATATTTAAGAAGACTATGAAAGTAACATTTACCTCATAAGTTTACTCGCTGTTAAGTAATTTGAAATGAATTCATGCTCCTGGAATGAATCCACGCTTAGCAATCGGGCACCCATGGACTGAAAAAGAAAACCAAAAACAATATGCACTGATAAATATAGACACACGTCACATACATTTCAAAAGCACGCAACTTTCTGGTTTTATCATTTTTATTTAAGTTTAAAATTACATAAAACATTTTTTAATCCTTCGTGACTTTCCTTAAGTATACCTTCATTACTTCAATGGCGAAAAATGACGAAAAATGTCGAATATTTACTAAGCACCCAAGTTTAAAAGACAGAAAACAATAAATGGGCTCTTTCGTTTTCGAAGAAAATACACTTCAAATATTGTTTATTATTTACTTGCAATCAATCCAAAAACGGCGCAAAAACATTGAAATGTGGTTTACGTAAACAAAAGAAAATATAAATGAGATCACAAAATAATGACGTCATGAAATATTTACCCAGCATGCCGCGTCCGCTTCCTCATACACCTTGTCATCCTCAACAAATTTGTAGCACTCATTCTCGTTTAGTACCCAACCTGTTGGACACCCTGGAAATTAACATAAAAAGTCTAATAAGATAAGTCTGTATATTGTTATTAACATATGATATTTCTCCGTTACCTGCATATTTTCTGGCGATGCATGGTGTTATATACTATATGTAAAAAAGTAAAAACAAAGAAATTAACGAATATTTATGATGTCAATCCGCTCGATACTTTGATAACTAGCTAGAAACATAAGATTTATAGAATTGTCCTCGGTTAGATAAGGATTGCAAATGTTGAGCAGACGACTTTTGAAAGCCTAAGAGATTTGATCTAATTTTTTGAGAAGTGTATTGACTTGGAATTACTGACTTAAGTGTCGGAAAGATTCTTTTCTCTTCACTTGTCATGTCTCGTTAGTTTTTTTGTCTGATAGGCATTTGTATACAAAGAAGAAAGAAGATAGACAGCTTAAAATATGGTTTGAACTGCAGGATTTTCCATAGATGTATGATACAGAATTAGGAGCCATATTGTTAGCAATGATGTGGAGTCAAAACATCGATTTAATACTTTTTTAAACACGAATTATATTAATATCAATTCCATGCAGGTTGATTATCAAAAGGTTGAAACAGTTTGTTTATGATCCCCTTCAAGAATTATTAAAAAGTGGTGGCATGGCAGAGAGGTTAACGCGTCGAACTAGTAATCAAATGATCGCTAGCCAGATTGTTATTTCCGTGAGCAGGACACTTTACACTCATTGCTCAACTCAAGGAATGGATTCCTACACAAGCGAGCTAAAACAAATTCTGTTTAAACCAAGAATTATTTCATAAATTATACAAAAGCGGGAACCAGAGAAAGACGATCGACCCTCCGTTAATTATAAGAGCAGGAACCAGGGAAGGGCGATCGACCCTCCGTTAATTATAAAAGCGAGAACCAGAGAAGGGCGATCGACCTTCCGTTAACTTGGTGGATAGTGCATTGTGGAATGGAAGAATTCATAGTCCCTGACGGGATTCGAACCCACAGCGATGACGGGTATGAGACCTGTGACTTAAGACACGCGGCCACGGTGGCCAATGCCATTAGTCAATGCGATTTATCCAACTAGTCTACTTATTCATTAACATGTTCAAATTAGAAAAGTTTAATAACAGTAATTAGATTGATTAAGTAACTATTTTGAAACTAGTTTAATTGTGCCACACGTATCTTACAAAATATGTCTGTTTATTAATTGTATTGATTATATATTCATGTTAGAAATATGTTAAGGTTTATGATTCATAATCAGTTTACGAATATAATTACGATGACTATTAATATTTGGTAACTTGATAAAAATTGATCAACATCTTTCTTATTGTGTCAAAGCGCTGCACCTTATTAAATCGGTCGAGCGTTCAGTAACACTGGATTATTATAGTATTTTATAGTGCATTAATACCCAAAATTAAATATTATGTCATGATATGGGTGCTTATCTGGGGTAGGACTGTCGTCAATTAGTGTGCAGGTTACGTGAATCTCCATATGACAAACCCGCAAGGGTATTTTAAACATTTGTAGTTTGAAGTGAACGACCTGAAGATGCTAGGTTAGATTGTTGTTATACAACGGGATATTAAAGCACATCTTGACACTGTGTGTGGTCAGTTTGAACTTTTTAAAATGAAAATTGCATCGTTTGTTACATTACTGATAGATATATAGATACTTTTAGTTCCTTCAATACCATATTTGAAGAGATGAACAAACAATAACAAGCATCTGCAATGTTACATTACAGATGTTAGTTTCATCTAAATATATGTATAAATGTTACATAGCTTTTTTTTCTTTTTATTTATAAACAAAAACTCATGGCCCTTAAGGGCATAAGAGTGAGCAATCAAACAATACAAAAATGATAATACAAACGTGGCATAGAACTAAATAAGTAAACAAGGAAGATGATTTAGTGATATATTTCAGCATTATTGCTTTATCAAAAATGGCTAAATTAAATAAAGTATCTCTGTTGTCGCTACAAATTAGAGCCTGAAATTTAGAATACTAGGAAACCTTGAGTAATATTTACTGATATACTTGTGTTTTTCATTAGTAAAATAACTATATGTAAAAATATAGTGAAATTATTCACCTATTTCTTGCTGGTTACAAAGTGAGCATGTTCTATTTTCTCTTTCAATACCAAAATAGCGACCTTTCTCTATAGGAATATCAGAATTGAGACATCTAAATTTACAAAGAGTAATTGCTAAATTTCTTGGTAAACATAGTAAATAATGTTCTAATTTAAATTGAGTTTTATATATTCTATAATTTAAACATTTAGCAGAATTGAAAACATCACCATTCCATACTTGTAAAATCTGATCACATTATCGTGATTTTATTACATATTTAAAATTATCAAAATTTGTAACATTCTGAGTTATCCAAAAATCAGAGCAACTATTCAAAGTAGATTTAACTTTATCAATCCACTGACAATGTAAAATACCCTTTTCATGAAGATTATACATAGTGCGGTACAAAGAAGCACATATTTTATCATTTTTACCATTAACTAGTTTACTCCAAAAATTTAACATTCTGCAAGTATAGGTTATACGTTATATACAGAGTTTTTAAGAAATTAATTTTCGAGCGAACGAAGTGAAGCGAGAAAATTAGCAATAGAAAGAGCATCGAAACACGAGGCTATCTGATTTGTACGAGGGGACGTAGCCCCCGAGTATTAATCAGATTGCCGAGTGTTTTGATGTTCTTTCTCTTTTGTATCATAGTCAAACATAAAAAACGTTCCCTTGAATCCCCAGAAAAAAGTAACTAATGAACGAGCATCTGAATATGATATTTCTGTCGCTTTCCCTCTCTTTGCCGTCACAATAAGTAAACCCCAGCAAAAATGAGCCAATCCACGGGCACTCTCTGGCGTGCGGGTAACTAATACCTGCACTCCAGTTAACGCACTGTGCATGTATATGTATACGATTTTACTGTGACACATTTTCAATAGAAAGGTCCCCAAACTATGATACAAGTTTCTTAAAACTCTGTATATAACCTATAACCGACTTACAGTTAGCCCCACATATTTAAACCGAGTGCACTATGTAAATAGGCGGAGTCCATTAAATCGGCTCATTTAATGTATTTAATACATACAGTTGAGATACAGTTGAGTTACAGCACTGTATGGAAAATACTTCGGCAAAATTTAAACAAAATAGAGCGATTTTATTGGTAGACAAACTTTGGCGAACTGTAAGTAATATCATTTTTAAAAGGAAATGCACCTAATTCTCCCAAGACCATAACCGAAGGAGATGACATCTTAAGTTTAAGTATATATTTATAAAAATTCAATTGAAACTGAGAAATATTAGAATTATTTTCAAATCCCCACACCTTCGACCCATACAATAAATTGGATTAACCATACTGTCAAACAACTGTAACTGAATATCAATTGGCAAACACAATTTCTTGATTTTAGTTAAAATACTTAGCATAGCTTTCCTAACTTGATCTGTCAAGTGTTTTTTGTTTTATTAAATTTACCATTAAAGTTGAATATCACACCTAAATAACTAAAATAATCATACTTGTGAGTGACTGTATAGCTTTAAGATTTAGAGCCCTAGACGAAACGAAACTCTAGAAATTACCCTGTAGCGGCTGGTGGATACATATATATTACATACATACAATAATTGTCTATCATTCGAGGAATGAGCGGATGTCAGGTTTTTACAATGTATGTCGATATTGATGTTTTATTTTATCTTTATTGTTAAATTATATACTTTTAATAGTTAAAAATCTCAAAAGTAATCAATATGTCGTCATAGCACGTGCAATGGGATTTCAATTTAAACTGCCTCCTTAAATCGTTGAATGTCCAAATATTGTTCCTTATTTTGTATTTCAAGCGTCTACCGTCTGTCACCATGTTTTTTACAATGTGACCAGACGATTGCTGTTTTTTGTTATTAACTAAGGGGATATTGTTGTGACGTTAACACATGCTTAAAGAAACTGTACACCTACAAATGTTAACGAATAACCACTTGGAGACAGAGAATTGCATTGATTTTGTAGTGTTTCGGACATGGATTCATCTAAAACTTGACTTTTTAGTAATAATACGTCAGTCAATTTTCTTGAAAATGGCAGTTTTATACGTATTAAAACAAAGTGATTTATTTTTCTCCCTCGGTTGGAGTGTTCAAATTGTCGGATATAAATTTAAGAATATGACACACAAAAAAGAACAAAATATTCTAGACCATTGAGGAATCAAGTGTTAACACAAAAAGTAACAGAAAACAAAAATAACGATGTTAGATTAATGAATTAAAATGTTGTATTCCTCTCATTGCAATTTAAAGGATGAAATAAAAATGTAACTTAAATAACAAAAAAAACCAAAAAACAGAACAACAAAAAAAACAACAACCAAAAAAAAAACATTTTGAAAATCAAAATTGAAAATTTATACATATATGTGTCTTTAATTTGGTACATCTTAAACGTAAACAGCATAGCTCATGAAGTCTTGACATAAATAGGCACAACCTTTCCCCATAGCTGGAGCTGTTTTTCCCCGTCAGTTTAATGTGTCATAGCACATAAACAGCACATTAAAAAAGCATATTTAAATGCTATATGTTTTAAATGGAATGTTTGAATTTATAAAACGGAGTTAGAATATCAATTTTAGCGTTGCTCATGAAAACGGACAGTTTCGTCATTCCATGTGTTAAAAAGGCACATTACTGCAGAAAACGCATTATTATTAGAATGCTTATTATATTTTGTAATAGGTACAGTCAAGTGTAGCCTGCAAGCGAAAAGAGGAATCGGCAGAATAAAAAATTGGCTTAAATAAAAGCGATCCTGCAACATTTTCAATTTCATCGTTTTGAGCGTTCTTTTGGGATTGCATTTTGTTGTCTATTTTAAATACTTTCCAGCCACACGTGGTCCTTTTTGTTTGAGGAAAACCTTTGTAACAAATTTTACAGTGAATAAGAATTCGATCGGACAATGGTGGACAAACACGTGTCTTTTGTGTCAAAATGATGTCATCTCGTTAAATGATGGAGAAAAGAATAGAAAAAATGAAAAGTGACGTCAGAGTATGCCCTGTAGACTTCTACCAGATGTCGAAATTCATCTTCAACCTAACAAATACTGACCTGTTATATAGCGTGTTCATATGAAATGCCGATAATTTAAGGCATGTAACGCGCGTTAAGAATTACTGGCCTTAATTAAAGAATAATCAAGGGAAAAATTACCCGTCAAACCGGGTGCATTCTTCAGTATACTACAAATTAATGATGCATCGCCATAACCGGAGACACGTAGACGCAAAGGAAAGCATTCAATATTACTTCTTATTTTCATTATTATTATAACGATGTTAAACGCTCGTCATTTGGATCTACTTTATCATTAATATCATCATAATCATCATCATCATAATGATACATGTGATAATCCTGGCAAATGCTTTACAGTATTTTAAATGTTGACATGCCAATTAATTTTATTTAGAGTTTCATACATTTTACAATTTAGGAAGACTAAGTTTAAGGCTAAAGAAGACCTTTTGTTTTTTGTTAGAGCGTATGTTTTTTTACTAAAGTCAAGACATCACTTGTATATTTTTATACTATGTTTATATTTTAGATTTTTTTAACCTACTTGGAGTAGAATTGTATAATATACATGTACTGAAGTAAATAAACAACATACTGAATGTTAAATTATAAGTTAGTCGATTTAACTGACCAGTGTCCGGTATTATAAATTGTACTAATACTTAGGTTTGAATTCTATGTCGGATTAACTTGAACTTTTGACCTGTCTTCGGGCGTTTCATAACAATTAAATGTAATAGAAAAATCGCCAGTCCATTTTAAATATTTACACTTGGCCAATACGGTTATGTTAGTAGTATAAAAAATCTATTTTTATTGTAACATGGTCGTGACTAATGTACTGTGTAATAAAAGAAATGTAATACACGACAATATTTCAAATGAATATTCGTTTTCTGAATAAAGCGTAATACATTAGATTTGGTATACATTGTATTTTAAACATTTGTTCGCGTCAGGCTTAAATTACATAATATTTCGTTGTATTTCCTCTAAGGCTCGTGTTTCATTTTTACATATAATATACCACACTATGAATTTCCTGCTGCATTAACTACATGCATTATATTTACAAATATACGACTTAGCAGTATATCAGTCTAAAAAATTAGATAATATAATACAAACGTTGAGGTATACTACAATGTATAAAATGGACCCTTTTCAGAGAATCGAGACTATTATAAAATGTATTGAACTTGACCCCCGCAATTGTTACGTTAGTTTATATTGTGATAATATATAAAATGAACATATTTACACATGTGTTGCTGTTTTAACCAAATAAATTGAAACAAACTTCATTTTTGTTCGTATTAAGATATAGCAATTAAGCATAACTAAATTTTTTACGAGTTTCCAGATTTCAAGTTTAATTTCAGCAAATCGAAAACTTACTATAATAATAGTACAGTTGTAATATTAAATTATTCATAATGTAAGAACTGTTTTGTTGCTTAAAATCACTTAAGATGTGCAATCATTTATAAATATTAATTGATAATACGACCATCTATTTTTTTTTCGACGTGAAAAATCAGTATATTAAGTTAAAATATACTGTTCCTCGCCACGTTTTCCTGTTGTATGTTTATATATAATATATATATATATAACTTATTTTGTATATGTGTGTCTTTTTGTATGAATGATAAATACAGCTACGTGTAACTAATATTAAAGTTTTTTTTTAATTATAAGCACATGTATACATTTATAAATATTTAGAAGAAAGGCCTACTTTGCGAACTGTATAATGAATAATTTTCGAAGACACTGATACACAAGGGTCTCGAACTCAAGCCATACTTAAGCCACGGCCACATTTCCATACATGTAATTAGTAGAGGATAGTCGACGTAAACTTAAAAAAATTTTTTTTTGAATAGTAAGTATTCTGCATTAAGTTTTAAACGATTTCTTTTGTTACTCCCCTACCCTCGCATGTTTTCAGGCATTAAAAGGAGTAAATTCGGAATTGTTTTCTTTTATATATTTAAGGGCAAACAAATGGAGTTACCATACCTAATGAAAAAATCTGGCAATTAATTCCTTTTAAAATTCCAATTAGAATCAAAACAAAACAGACTTCCTTCATATTTAAACCATAACGAAACTATATTAAAAACGCTTACATTTAAAACTGACCAGATATTTGCTGCGTTAAGGTACAGTCGCGAAAATCCTTTCGCGGTCATTTAATTGTGCGTTACCACTGAAGCGGAAAGCAAATTATTGGACATCAGAAAAATGGCCACCTCGGCACACAGGTATATGGATTATCGATTTAACATGGTACTGTCTAAACGGGTGGCCGCTTTGTCCCTATTGTGTGTCATGTAAACCAGTTTAATCCAGTTGTAATGTTATGTAATCGGTTAAAAAAGCATTGGCATACATTAGTTAATATGCATACAATGACATATTTACGTGTGACAAGTGGATTGTACCGGGTATTACAAGCTATGTGTATAAAGAATAACATGGTGTTGTTACATAATAAACTGCAATAATTATTCATAGAATAGTGTAACGCTGTGTCATGAATAAGTGTCAGTAAACATTTATACAATACAATATAAGTACAGCAGTACTATGTACTGTAAACAATATGTTATTATATAATAGATAAATACACCACGATTTGTAATTTATTAATTATACTCTTAAAAACTACATTGTAATTCTGAATTGTTTCCGTAAAAGAAATAATAATAAAAAAATGACAGAATAAAAAAGGATAAATCCGTGATCACAAGCACCTGCTACCAGAATTTAGCAGAAATACTGATGGGGAAAAAAATAGCAAATATATATCGGCAGAATTTTTGTAATTTTATTTCATTTGTGGATCGATTTTTGATGTTCTTATATTATTTGAAAGTTATTTTAATTCATATTTTGGAAATATAAGCGGATTTTTCAATTTTTTTTTTTTGCCTTTTAAAAGGAAAACTCGGCTTTTTTTCAACTGTATACGTAGTTTAAATAGTTTTCTAGCACCAAGTTTAACCCTTTACCAAGAAAAAAGGAAAAGTTTTGAAAAATCAATTTGAATGTGTAAAATATGAGTTTACAGACCTGTCTAATGATATAAAATAATATAAGTTTTTCATGAAAAATAAATTTAGTTTATACAAATTTATTTTCGTTCGATTGTGTTGGAAGCAATAAGCTTAAATCTGTTTTTGGAACCATCCACCAATGGTTACCTGTATCACGGATTTGTAATATAAATCCGTGCCTGTATGTATTATCAGCAATTTGTTACTATTAACATATTTCATTACAATGACATGCAACGTGCTCATGATTGAACAAAGCAAAAAACTTGTAAAATAATGTTTAGATATTCTCACGATTCACTTTGTATCTGCACTATCAACAGCGACAGCTAAATAGGCTTGTATCAATTAAATGATGAAATTTAAGTGGAGACACAATTCGTGCATACCTCATCAGACTATTAAACGGTTGATATCGCAGCATGTATCGAGTTATCGATTTTGAAATAATTACATAACCTCGTTCATGTACAAGCGGACACAATCGTTACTAGCAAATATTACGATCATTTCCGATATTTTAAATAAAAATAATGACAATAAGGTCACTGAATTAGCTGGCAATGGCGAAATTTCATTTGCAATGTCACGCTTAATAAAAGTAGGCGTATAACATTGAAATCCATAGGTAGCAAAAAGGTAGAAAAATCACAAAAAATAAATACTAAAAAAAAAAAAAAAGCTAAAATAATTAAATTGATATCTAAAGAAAGAAAGAAAGAAAGAAAGAATGAATGAATGAATGAATGAATGAATGAATGAATGAATGAATGAATGAATGAATGAATGAATGAATGAATGAATGAATGAATGAATGAATGAATGAATGAATGAATGAATGAATGAATGAATGAATGAATGAATGAATGAATGAATGAATGAATGAATGAATGAATGAATGAATGAATGAATGAATGAATGAATGAATGAATGAATGAATGAATGAATGACGAGTGAACGTGTAAACAAAAAAATAAAATTAGAATATGATTTAAGAAATGTGTGATACAGGGAAATAACTCTTTATTAGAAGAGGATCAGCTTCTTTTGTCTGTTCATTCCCTTGTTAAATGTAGGCTTCACTGCTAGTTTGTATATCTTAAAGATTTTCATTACAATGCAAAGTTAACGATATGTTATTAAAAAACCCTTATACATGTATTGTAGTGAAATCTGGTTGAATAGAGATATTTAAATTAAATTAAAATTCCATTTATTTCCACCAGTCCATGTACAAACATGACACAATAAGGACAAGCATGAATAAAAGTACAATAAAGCTCTAAAAGGAGTCCAGTTACATTAGATAAGGTTATACTAACGAAATGGTATAATCCAACAAATAATTTAAGATTTATATGTGAAGTTTGTATTCTTCAAATATTATGTATGCCGTCAGTGCTATTTAATCAAATGCTAAATTAAATCTATGTCGTGTATGATGTCTATGATTAAACATTTTTCTTTAACTTGAATTAAGACAATGTTTTTCTCACTCTATTCTTGGACTTTAAGTCCCAGCTTTAATTTGTAATGTTTTTCACACATTTCAAATAACAAACACGTGACCTGCGCGGAGTGTTAAAGTAATCTAGCACAAGCGCGCATACAGATATCTGACAGATTCCAAGCTGTTGAAATTGAGTAAAATCAGAGAGATGTCCCTAAGAAAAATTTGTCTTATAAAAAGTGTGGTTACTATAGAAATATTCATAACATTCATGTGTCATCTTAGAACATAAATATACGACTATATACAAATTCATTTAAATCACTCTTAATTCTGAAACAATGCCTTGTTTGTCGAAACAAAAGGTAAGTTATTTACATTTTCTTTTGGTTTTATATATAGAATATTTATATCGATTGGTATATTTTATTAATGCTGTTAATTTAATGCTGTAATTATACAGAAACATAAAAAGACAGTAAAATGTACAAATTTAAAATTAAAAACAGAAATAATAAAAATAAAAAATTAATATACTTCAATAAATATTTAGTATATATACGAGTAGCTTACATAAATAAGTACATAAATAATAACGTTCCGTGTATAAATGGTCATTTATAAACTTGTTAAAAGAACATTTGTATTACGGATTCTTGGAAATACACAATAATAATTATTAAAAAGGAAGTATATTTGAATGGTGCATTTATTTGTATTTTCAGACTATAAAAACGACGTCTTCAAGCTTGTCGAGCAATGGGAGGCTGTTTTGTATAACAGGGGTGGTGAAAACGTGTTTGAATGGAGTAGCAACTGTAACAACTTCTCTGATTGGTCAGTCAGACACTGAGTCCAACACTTCCGGTTATTTATCATCTTTAGAGTCATCAGGTGAATATTTCCTTGACGAAAGTGATCGTGCAACTGACACGAAACCTAGATTAGGACACGATGATGCCCGTATACCCAATACTTCAACACCAAAACAAGATTCTGAAACACAGAGACCGTTGTTTAAATATGTGACAAACAAAAAGGCTCATAGTCTGTTGTCAATAAAAAGAAACTTCAGTAAATCTACAGAGAATTTTCCGGTAGAAGCCGACTCATTTTGGGATATCAAAACACCTAGAAAAGCATTTAGAAGCAACTCACAAAGTGATGTGAATAGAAAAGAAAGAAGACAGATCGAGTTAAGAAGAAATTCAGCTAAAACATTATCTTCGCATGATATAGACATTATTTCTAAAAATAGAAATCTGAAGTCACAAGACTGGAAACGAAGACCATATTTGACGCAGTCCGACTCTTACCTTGATTCAAGACTTTACAAGGCAGAATCAGCCAACAGATTAACAGAACCAGTCTCGAAGAGTCAGTCATTTGGTGCATTGCCAAGGTACCGCGTGAAATTTGAACTAGATCCAGTTGTTACTAAAAATAAATTGATTGAACCACGTGATGGGATTGTATCAGTTGACGAATCAATGGGCGAGTTTCTAACAAGCGTGGATAGAGATAATTTTGCGAGCTTTTTAATGTTTTATGACAAAGTGACACACAGTAGTAGAAATCCAAATGCGCATGATGCCGTTTATTTCTAGTTCTGTTATAATGTATATATATGTGAGTAAAATAATTATGTTATGAAATAAAGATCACTTATAATGAATTTGCTCTCTTGTTTCTATCATTTGCACAACGTTTACTTTTAAGATAAGATAGCAACTGGTGATGATGTCATCAGTTTGTCGTAAACAGTGATGAACTGACGTTATATTTTCACACTGACGTTAACAGAGACTCTAGAAATGTATCGCTAACATTTAAACACAACTACAAAATGTTACCGTACGTAATATATAAATGTTATTCCGCGTGTTGTTACATAAATCGAACGAAGTAAAATGATGCATTTTGTAATGATTTATTTTTAATCATGTTCAAATTCCGATTGTTTAAGATGTAAGGCGTGCTCATTGGCGTCCGCGCCGAAGCGCGGCGCCCTTTTATGTAATGAAATCAGATTTTGTGAAAGGGCGACAGCAACTTCTCGAGCCTTTATAGTTGTTCATAATAAAAGCCGATCATTCCGATCGGTATGAGGGTGCTTGATTATTAATTACAATGAATAGCGAACTGGAGAACTTCGCAATGCAAACAATTTCAAATTAATTAACCTTTTCCGTCAATAAATCGCGCTCTTCGGGGTATTTTTATTTATCATTTTGTAGTACACAGTGGGTTATTATGGTATGTTATTCCGAAAGCTGTAAATAGAATGTTGAGTTGATGACCTAAATATTCCGAAAATCTATTTATAGAGGGATGTACTCTTGTAAATCAGTTAGAACCAGTTTAATTCAGTAAATATATAAACATTCTAAATTAAGGCAGATTAAAATAAAAAGTCTAAACATTCATAAAATTACTGTTCAATTTAATTACATTTCTTGAAAGAAAAAAAATAGTGATGAATGGGTTGTTTAACATTTAAAATAAAATAAAGTTGGTAAATGCAAACCAATCTAGTGTCTTTAGATTTATTGATTAGCCGATTTACCAAGATGTGAAAGAATTTATTTGGAAATCTGCTTTCCTATTGGGCAAAACCACGGATTAATATAAAT